AGCAYGTCTATTAAGGTGCTTGTGATTGTTGTTCTCTGAACACAGCAGGGTGACTCTGGTGTTCACCAGCTGGTCTGAGGACAGTCCAGCTGGGCGGGGCGGTGGGCTGGAAGTTCCCCTTTGTGGGATTTATTTAAAAACCAGGATGTTTGTCTCTTTTCTGCTCCGTGAGTTATTGTGGGGTGGGTACATGACACAGCAGGACGCTTATTGCTTGTGGTTCGTCCTAGAGCTTTACTTTACAAGAAAAACAGAAGATGACACACACACGCGTGCACACGCACCGATGCATCAACCAGCAGAACGGCACTCGGTGCTACCAAAACAAATCTCAACTGTCGGACGTTTTGTCCTCTTTCTGAGCCAACTTCTAAACCGTTTCTGACCGCAGTTCTGGCCTCACCTCAGTGGTTCACCAACGATTCATCTCCTGACCTTCATCACCTCAAGATGCCTCCTCTTCATGACCCACAATGAGTTTCAGACCCTGACGTGTCAATAACACAGTTCATAGCTGCTGTTTGGTGGTCTGCATCGTCATTAATGAGCATTCCTCTTCTGTAAACGATTACAAGACCTTTTCTTGACTCATAAACCACCTTAAAAAAAAACAACTACAGAAGCACACCTATTCGTCTCATGAGAGACATCCTGTCTCTGCTGCCGCCAGCTCAGCTGCTGACTGAGTCACAACTGAAAACAGAGCGGTCGTTCTGCAGCGTGAAGCCACAGAGGTGGCTTCTGGGAAAGAGCAGAAAGATGTTTTAGACGGAGAACTGATTTTCAGAAAAGGAAAAAGCTGTAGCTGTATTGGAGTGTGTGTTGTGAATGACTCTCAGCTGCAGCCAACAAATGTTAGCACTGTTTCTTTGAGTTACAACCATGCTTGTGTTTCCTAAGGTCTGTTGGCTGTGGCAGCCATCTTGAATGAGGCTGACTTCAAAAGTTAAATCAGCTGAAGGTGCATCGCCCTGTGGTCCACGACGTATTTTCCTAACAGACACTCAAACACACACATACAGTGGAGAAAATAAGTATTTAGTCAGTCACCAATTGTGCAAGTTCTCCCACTTAAAAAGATGAGAGAGGCCTGTAATTGACATCATAGTTAGACCTCAACTATGAGAGACAAAATGTGAATTTTTTTTTTTGAGAAAATCATTTTGTCTGACTTCTAAAGAATTTTTTTGCAAATAATGGTGGAAAATAAGTATTTGGTCACCTACAAACAAGCAAGATTCCTGGCTGTCACAGACCTGTAACTTCTTTTTTAAGAGGCTCCTCTTTCCCCCACTCTTACCTGTATTAATGGCACCTGTTTGAAGTCGTTAACAGTATAAAAGACACCTGCCCACAACCTCAAACAGTCACACTCCAAACTCCACTATGGTGAAGACGAAAGAGCTGTCGGAGGACACCAGAAACCGAATTGTAGACCTGCACCAGGCTGGGAAGACTGAATCTGCAATAGGCAAGCAGCTTGGTGTGAAGAAATCTACTGTGGGAGCGATAATCAGAAAATGGAAGACATACAAGACCACTACTAATCTCCCTCGATCTGGGGCTCCACGCAAGATCTCAGCCCGTGGGGTCAAAATGATCACAAGAACGGTGAGGAAAAATCCCAGAACCACAAGGGGGGATCTAGTGAATGACCTGCAGAAAGCTGGGACCAATGTTACAAAGGCTACCATCAGCAACACACTACGACGCCAAGGACTCAGATCTTGCAGTGCCAGACGTGTCCCCCTGCTTAAGCCAGTCCATATCCAGGCACGTCTGAAGTTTGTTAGAGAGCATTTGGATGTTCCAGAAGAGTATTGGGAGAATGTCATATGGTCAGATGAAACCAAAGTAGAACTATTTGGTAAAAACACAACTYGTCGTGTTTGGAGGAAAGTGAATGAGGAGTTGCATCCAAAGAACACCATACCAACTGTGAAGCATGGGGGTGGCAACATCATGCTTTGGGGCTGTTTCTCTGCWAAGGGACCAGGACGACTGGTCCGTGTACATGAAAGAATGAATGGGGCCATGTATTGTGAGATTTTGGGTGCAAACCTCCTTCCATCAGCAAGGGCAATGAAGATGAAACGTGGCTGGGTCTTTCAGCATGACAATGATCCCAAGCACACTGCCAGGGCAACAAAGGAGTGGCTTCGTAAGAAACATTTCAAAGTCCTGGAGTGGCCTAGCCAGTCTCCCGATCTCAACCCCATCGAAAACCTTTGGAGGGAGTTGAAAGTCCGTGTTGCCCGCCGACAGCCCCAAAACATCACTGTTCTAGAGGAGATCTGCATGGAGGAATGGGCCAACATACCAGCAACAGTGTGTGCCAACCTTGTGAAGACTTACAGAAAACGTTTGACCTCTGTCATTGCCAACAAAGGATATACAACAAAGTATTGAGATGAACTTTTGTTATTGACCAAATACTTATTTTCCACCATTATTTGCAAAAAAAAATCTTTAAAAGTCAGACAAAATGATTTTCTCAAATTTTTTTTCACATTTTGTCTCTCATAGTTGAGGTCTACCTATGATGTCAATTACAGGCCTCTCTCATCTTTTTAAGTGGGAGAACTTGCACAATTGGTGACTGACTAATTTTCCCCATTGTACGTGCAAAAGCCTTGTTGTCCGCTTTCGCCGTTCAGCAGCGGGTGATGAAGATGGCGCCACGGTCACGCTGCCCCAGCATTTTCCTTCATGAGGATGCCAAACATACTTTCATTTGCACTGACAGTTTTTATGACTTTCCCCTTTAAAAATACACCCTGGACTGACAGCCAGATGTCCTCTGTAGCCAGTGAGTGTGAGTCTCCATGCATGTGAAAGTGTGTGTGTGTTGCTGCATGGGAGCAAAGTTGGGAAAACCCCAGAAACATTCCTGCAATTCCTCAACACCACCGCCCCGTGTAGAAGGAAACTGTACAGGAATGGGATTGATTTTATTTGAAGAAAAAAAAAGGGGGGAGAGAATTTTGTGGCGTGACAAATTCTGTGGTTGAGATTCTCTCCATCCCTTCTGTTTCTGGTGCCACGTTGGCCCCAAAAAAAATCACTTAAAAATAAAAAAAAACAGACAAGGAGAACTAACGAGTGAGCCACAGATGCCCTTCTATGGTTCGTCTAAATGCTACCAGGATATAAGAGAAACAGCATAATTTGTGAAAAAGGAGCCAGATGGCTGAAGTTTATAGAAGAAGCTGAAAAAGCTAAAAGAAGCAGAACATTAGCTCTATGCTAAACAAGRTGAAATGCTATCTAAAAGTAGCAAAACGAATCAAATGCTAACACAATACAATAGCTAAAAGTAGTGATGCATGAGCTGAAATCGTAAAAAATAGCAAAGGCTTAGCTAAAAGGTAAATGTACAAAGTCAGCTAAATGCTAAAATAAACAAAACATTAGCTAAAAGTAGCAAAACATGAGTTAAAGAGAAAAGTAGCTATAATTTATATAAGCACTAAATGTAGTAAAAGTAAAACTAAATGTTGCAGAACACTATAGCTAAAACTTAAAATGAGCTAAATACTATCTCAAAGTGGTGAAAACATGAGCTAATTAAAAATAGCTAAAGTTTAGCTCTAAGGTAAATGTAGGACAAGTCAGCTATGATTTAACACAGTGTTTCCAAAAGTTGGGGTCGGGACCCAAAGTGGGGTCCCGAAACATCAAGGTGGGGTCCTGAAAAGATTTTCTGAATTAATTACATTTTTGGCATAGTTGTTACAAAGAGTGAGGTTAGTGTATTTAAAATGGGTAAATTTAGTATAAAAATATTGTCACTATGCCCATGTTTAGTTGACCTGATACAAATGTTTATCATCCAAAAATAGTTGTGGACACAGGTCTCTACTGTTATTTTGTGGGTCAAAAGCTGAAAAGTTTGGGAACCACTGCACTTTGGTTCCCAAAGTTGGGCTTGGGACCCAATTATGRGTCATGAAGCACCTTGGATAATCTCCAGAAATCAATTTAAAGGGTAATAAAATAATTGCTGATGTAATATTTTCCCTATAACTATTCAAAAAACACACAAAAAAGTATAAATAAGTATTTGTATTTGTGTATAAGCTGTTTAGGTTGTCAAAAAAGCCTGTGTTTTTAGGGTTATTAACAAAGTTTGTGTACTCAGACCAGTAATATTTGGGGTCACAAGTTTTTGCCATGGATATTTTGTGGGTCAGAAGATAAAAAGTTTGGGGACCACTGATCTAACAGATTACCTAAAGCAGCAAAAGGTAAGCTAAAGGTTGCAGAACTCCAGCTAAAATCAAAAAGTAGAAAATACTTAACATAAGCTAAAATATAATGCAGCAAAACTGGTAAAAGGGATGGAAGCTGGAGTTGGTTAATAAAAGTAGCAAAATGTTAGCTGTATAAGCCAAAAGTAGTAGCTAAAAAAGGGTAGCTTAAAAAACAGCATAAGAAGAAAGACTGCTGATTCAGATTTACAAAATTACAGTGTTTCTGAAGCAATTATGAGATCTAAATGTGGGGTAATATTTTTAAATAAAAGTTAAATATCTTGAAAAGTACAAAAGTTGACAAAGCTATGTCAGGGCACATATCTCCTAAAGAAGCTGAAAGTTTTTTATGATTGAATGGCTAAAACAGTAAATCAGGCCTGTGCAAAAGTGGACTGAAAAAAGTGTGAATGCTGACTCAGCGTTAACTATTATAGCATATTTCTATTCGAAGTGACCAAATGATCAAACGAAAGCATTTTCTGTTTTCCTGCTTTCCAAAATGCGCTTTCATTTATCTTTGATTAAAACAACATTAAGGTGTTAATAATGAGGTGCCAGCTGATTGTGGCCTCGGTCCTCCGTCAGCTTCCAGCCGTTTCCAGCCGCCTCTGGAACTCCTTTACCCGCCGCGGAGGAGGTCTGAGCGGCGGCAGCAGCTTCGGTTAGAACCCTGGCGCAACATGGGCCGGGTAAACAAAAACAACATCAACAACAACAACAGCCCCCCACCGGTGATGCGCTTACCTACGTCCGCGTTGCAGAACGCCTGTTGCGGATGCACCGGAGCGCAGCTGCACGCCTCCGCGAGCTCCTCCGCGCGCCACAGAAGCAGCAGCGCGAGCGCACAAAGGATGCCGTGAGCTGAAAACGGCATTTTTTTTTTCGGGGGGGATAAAGGCGAACGGTTCCTCAGTCTCTCTGTTTAGGTCTGTTCGTGCTGCGCAGATGCGTCGCAGAGACTTGGATCCAGCTGCAGCGACCCTCCCCTCCGCCTTTCTTCTTCTTCTTTAACCGACAACAACGTCAACAACAGCGTCCGCTCCGTCGTGACAGTGATGGGACTCGCTGTTTTCAGGAAGCTCTTCCGCCGTCCCGTCTGTAAACGTCTGCCTGTCCGGACTGTTTTGGTTTCTGCGGTTCGGGGAGGTTTTTATGAGGCTACCCGAGCGGCTCCTCCCCGCGGCGATCAACAACTCCACCAGCAGAGGGCGCTGTTCTTCCAGCGGCGCTCTGCTGGTTCATCTGCAGACCGAAAGATGGCTCCTGAAAATAAATACTTCTGACTTTAATCTCATATTTCTGACTTTTTTCTTATAATTCTGACGTTAATCCGTTAATTCTAGAATTATGAGTCTTTAGATTTAAAATTCTGAGATTATAGTAAGTTTTTTTTTCCAGTGGCCCAAACTCTCTTTCATAGAAAGGTCCCATATTATAAAAAACAAAAATCAAAACAACAAAAAAAATCCTAGTTTTATTTTTCTGTAATGTTGAAACTGAGTTGCTAAAGCTAAAAGAAGCAAAACAGTAGCTAAAAGCTAAAGCAGCAAAAGGCTAACTACCACGAAAAACACAAAAACCCCTATAACTCAATCAGTTTTTCAGAAACGGTGCTCAGGTTTGCTGTGGTCGCAGCAGAGTCGTTCACAAAACACACTCTGACCATGACATCCAGTGTGAAATGATAACTTTATTTTTAATAAAGCAACCATTTCACATCAATCACCAAATCTTCCTCCTGACAGGCAGAAGAGGGCAGTAGCCTCCACCCCAATGACTGATAGTTTAGGACTCCACTTGTTCAGAGAAATGTTCTTTCCACAGTGAAGCAGTTATTGGTTTAAGAACAAAAAATAGAATAAAATAAAGAATCCAAGTCCAGCAGAGTTGCACCTGCAATTTTTGAAAAAGGCACAGACTGAGAGGAGGATCAGCAGGGTGAAGCCTTGTTTTCAGAGAGAGTTACATTTAGAGAAACGTAAACAACGTAACAGAGATTTCATCTGGCAAACTAACATGGTGTTCCTGAGACGAGATCATTTGGTTTCAGAACAGAAGTACAGAGTGATCCAGACACATGACCTGCTCAAAACAATAAGAAAAAAAAAAAGATTGAAAGTCCCAAAGCTTAAAAACCACCAGCAGAGATTCTGAAGTAAAATGTAAGAAATCAAGCATTTCTTTGTGACTAATAATTAAAAATGGCATCTTATGTGTATGCATAATTGTCTGGCGTTGTTTGGAAAACACTAAGCAGTTCGTTCTGGACTCAGAGGCCTTTGTTGAAGTAAACGTGTTGCACTCTGCCTCCATACTGAGACACAATGGAGTCCCTCAGCTCAGGCTCCAGCTTTGACACCGCCATGGAGCTGCAGAAAAAGCAAAAAAAATAAAACACAGTTGGATTTGAAAACAGTTAGTGGTGAGCTCAGTTCCACTAATGGGCTAACATTTTTTTTGCTAACTTTGGAAACTGTTATCAGACTGATCAGCATCCACTAAATTAGGTGTTGCTAATTTATTAATAAAAAATTTACAAGTCTAAAACTTCCATTTTTATGCCACTTATCCCAAATTAAATAAAAACTATTCCCCTCTTACAAGCAGCGCTGGATGTGTAGCATGTAGCATCTTTAGCAGTATTATTTAAATAATAACAAATAAAAATATTTAAATAATAAATACAAAAAATGACCATGAATAAGATATGGTAAAGAATGTATTTTCTTTTTGTTGTTTGACTAACCTTAAACAGTATTTATCAGAATACAAACTTGATCAAAGAAATGCTTTTATTCTGAAAGGAGTTGGGAAGTAACAAGTTAGACAGAGCTACAACTCTGGTTTGGATTGGCCGATTTGCCACAGATGACCCCGCCCACCTTCAAATTAAACCAATAGAAAACTAATAGCAGGTGTCAGGCCCACCAGTCTTCAACTAAAAGGTGATGAAGACGCAGGATGCGCGCCAGTCATTTTAGCGGTTAGCGTTAGCTTCCACTAAGTTTTTTTTTCTAATTTGTTTAGTGGTTTAATGTTAGTAGAGGTAAGATTCTTGTTTAGTGGAATAGTGGTTAATGGTATACATAATGACCAGATACATTATGAGACATTTTAAGACTTTTGCACCACACCATAAAGAACAAAGTGAGTTTAACAGCTCTGATTGTGTCGTTCGTCTTCTTTCATCTACACGAGCTGAACTCTATAAAAGGTGATGAAAGAAAAGAACAGATTTATTACCATCTCTGAGGGAACAGGGAGCAGGCAGCAGGCACCATGAAGACCAAACTTTAAAGAGAAAAGAGAACAAAAGTTACCTTAAAAACATCGGCTCAGACATTAAAGACCCCTGTGACCTCGTGGCCTTTTGTACTTACAACACTCCCACCAGCATGACCTGAATCGGTCCGTGCAGGAACGTGATTCTCTGTTAACGAACAGAAAGCGGCTTCAAGACAAGCGAGCGCATTTAGATCACTTTACTGACTGAGACGAAGCCCTGACCTGCATGAATCTGTATTTTTCCAGCCTCTGCATGATGATGGGGAGGATGACTGATGGAAGAGAAGAGAGGAAATAAGAGGGAGACGATAAAACTCAAACCCAGCGTTCATAAAACGAGACTTTTTCTTTGTTCCTTACTCATTCCTGGGGCAGCCATGGTGATCCGTGAGATGACCACCTGAGTAATGCCTTTTATTGCTGCTTTCTGAAAAATAAATAAAYAAACAAACAAATAAATAAAAATAGCACTTTAATACTGATTTGGTCAGTGAGCATGTTTAATTGTACGTGACGCCACAGTTTGCAAGACATAACCTGATAAATGCATTTACAGTTACTGAAAATCATTTTTATTCTGTAGTTAATAAAGTTGGAGGTCACTCGATTAAAGAAATAAGAAGCTGTAGCGACGCGACAGAGCAACGCTGCTTCCGTTCTGCTCATGGTTCTCGTCTCTGCTTTATGTGGACCATGTCGTTCTGTTAGTGTCTTCAGGCCAAGGTTATAATAGTTTTGGGTTTTTCATTGTAGTTTAGTTTTATTTCGTTGTGACCTTTTTTCTTTTAATTCCTTTAGTTTTAATTAGTTTTTACAGTGAATTTGCTAGTTTTTATTAGTTATATTGCATTTTTATTGCTTAGTTTTAGTTTAGTTTTTATTAGTTCTAGTGTTAGTTTTGTTGTAGCTTGAATAAGCATATTTGGCAATGCATCCTCCAGCTTGAAGTATTCCTGTGAGTTAACTAACCAACAGCTATTTGGTCGCTAGTTAAAGCAGTCCATTATAGCAACATCTTCCTAAAATCATTGTGTAATTCAAGTTTGCCAACTAAAAAGCTGGGCAAATATTTTACGATGATGACAACAGTTGTCTCCAACCCAGTGCTACCTGTTACTTGTTTTTCACTGGAGCTTCTGAGAGAAGCTAGAGTGTCAAGATAGTCATAGTTAGCGTCTTGTGGGAGCTTGATTCATGCAGTTTTTCCCTTGAGAAGTGTTTCACCTGTTTTATCACCTGTTTCCACTACAACACACTAGCTTTCATAGAAAACCCAAAATGGACTTTGCCACTTTCTCCCAACTTTTGCTGTTGTCATTTAACAGATGATGCTGAGCAGCAGCAGACTGTAAACATGTGTTTTTACGGACTATGAGGTGCTATAAGCTGCCCACAGCTAATGTGAAAAAAAAGAAAAATTAATAAATTGACAAAGACTAAAACTAAGGATATTTTATCTATAATTTCAGTTAATTTTGTAAAATGATTTAGTCAGTTATCGTTATTTCATTTTATTACAGTTTTTATTTATTTCAGTTAACTAAAATGTTTTTTTTTTTCAATTTCAGTTTTCATTATTTAGTTAGTTTTCATTAACTATAATAACCCTGCTTCAGGCCAAGTCTGAGGCCATGGTTTACGAGCGGTAAAGGGTAGAATGTGTGTCTTGTTCCTGAGTGATAGTAGGATGGAGCGGAAGATGGATCGACGGATTGAGGCCTCGTCCTCAGTAATGAGGGCGTTGCTTCGGTTGGTCGCGGTGAAGAAAGATCTGAGTCGAAAGGCAAAGCTCTCATTTACTGGTCTGTCYGAGGCGTGGATCATGACTGAAAGAGATCCCAGATATGAGCGGCCGAAACAAGTGTCCTTTGAAGTGGTTCATAGGACGCCTCCCTTTAGAGGTGTTCCGGGCACGTCCCACCGGCAGGAGGCCTCGGGGTCCTCCAGGACGAGCTGGAAACTGATGCTGGGGAAAGGGATGTCTGGGTTTCTCTCCTGGRCCTGTTGCAGCAGCAACACAACTACAGATAAGTGGCAGAAGATGGAGATGGAGCTACATAACAGCTTAAGCTTCAAAAACTTTAAAAACTGAACCCCAGCCTTTATTTTTTTCTGCTAATTTGAAAGACAACAGGTGTTTTAAAAGCTTGTCTAAAATTTTAAAGGATTATGTACACAAATTTCTAACATATCTGGTCTGAATCCATGACAACTAGAAACTAAAAACGACCCATTTCTGATTCAGAAAACACCCCCCAAAAAACTGAGTTGTAAAGTAACTAAGTACAAATACTTTGTTACTGTACTTAAGTAGAATTTTTGGGTATCTGTACTTTATTAGAGTAATTATTTTTCAGCCTACTTTTTACTTCTRTTTCTTACATTTTCACACAATTATTTGTACTTTTTACTCCTTACATTTAAAAAAAGGCAAGAAGTAGAAAGTCGTTACTTTTATTTCATTTTTGCTTGTTTTCATTCCAGCTTGTTATTGTAAAAAATAAATACTTTCCATATAAATTGTGCCTCTTAGATAGAGTGAATATAATTATGGTTAAATGAGAAGTATAAATATATACCGTATTAGTTTGTACACAAACAAATCATGTCACACTCCAGCAGGACATAATCATTAAAAACAAAAGGACTGTACTTAAAGAGTAACTTACCCCAAAATTAACTTTTTTTAGCTGATAAACTGTCTAGAAT